TTAAACCTCTTTTCCTCCCGACGCAAAGAGTGCCACCTTGTCCTTTGCAGGGACCTTAAAGTGAATAATTTGACACCAAGCACACTATATGGACCCTTTTTGTATTTATACATGGTGATCATGTCCCCCCATAATCGCCTCTTCTCCAGAAAGAACAAATTCAGTTCAGTTAATATTTCATCATAGCTGAGCTCCTCCATGCCTCTTATGAGATTAGTTTCCCTTCTCTGCCTTTCCCCAGTGTATGTGTATTTAAAGCCCCTATAATTAGAGTAATAATGTGCAGTGATCCTCTGCAGTCCGGTGGGGGTGGTGCACTGAGATCCATCCAGTCTTGCAGACCTTGGAGCTGCTGTCTTCTTGACCCAAAAGGTGATATGTCAGTGAAGGTAGCCATTTTGTTAAATCTAAGCATAATTGCTGTTAAATAAGTGTTATTTTGACAGCTTAACTATAGCCTGTGGTTACGTAAAGCATTATCCAAATCATAGATATAAGATAGCATCAGGCACCAAGGATAATTATTCTTTTGAAATATAATTTAGTTTAACCTATACATGGATGCCAAGCAACTTAACAAATATAATCTCCTACTTTTGCCCCTTTTTTGCTTTAAAAGTTGTTAATTACACACCCAGGCCAGTATAAGCATTGCTTTGTTTACATTGCCATAGAAAATATGGACAGCTCACCCATCATGCTAATTCCAAACTGCAACGTGGAGTGCCAGATGCCTTGGCCAGTGTAACATACACATACCTTCAATACAAAACTACAAACAACTGACACTAATGCACTTTGCACAATTATGTCCTTTGTCATCTATAATATTTATATTTCAGGAAGTCTCTGATTTCCTACACACATAGAGTAATTATGTAAAATGCAAGCAAGCAGGACCAGTGAGATCATCCCACAATAAGCATTGCTCACTCCCCTATGTCAACAGTGAGATCTACCCTCTATATCCATATTTCCTGTGAGATATACCTCCTATATCCATGTCACCATCGAGATCTACCTCCTGTATCCATGTCACCAGTGAAATCTGCACTCCAGTACACACAGCTCACTTCCCTAAATCCATGTCACCAGTAAGATCTGTCCCCCATATGCAAAGCTCACTCTCCTGCCCAGATAGCAAGGATAACTTGCCACAAACTTGTGGCAGGGTTAAATTGTAATTCTTGTTAACTTGCTGCACACATTCCTGGCAAGTTGTAAACTTGCAGAGCACTTGCAGCACAAGTTCTAGTTGACACTTTTTGAATTTGTAGCAAATTTGCTTGGCAAGTCTACAGCAAGAGTCCTGCAGGTCTTAGCAAGAGCTCGGCAAGCTCGCTGGTCTGGAGACTTGCAATGCAGACTTGCTGTAATTGTGCAACAAAATTGTGAAGCTTGGCAAGTCTGCAACAGTTTAGCAAGTCATTTTCAAACTTGCAGCACAATTTCTTGCTATCTGGGTGTAGCCATGTTACCAGTGAAATCTGCACTCCAGTACACACCGCTCACTCCCCTAAATCCATGCCACCAGTAAGATCTGCCCCCAATACACACAACTCATTCCCCAGAATTCTTATCTGCTTCATGGATGAGAGAGTGGAGTTGCTCTAATGTCAGTTCCTGCTTCCCTGTCAGAATTACAAATCCTGCAGCTTTATTTTTTTCTTGACCACACAAGAATCACACATTTGAAACAACAATTCCCCCATAGGTTAAGAGCTGTGAGTGGCCAGGCAGCAAACTAGAGCGAGTAGTGAGACACGCTCTGCTTTCCAGTGTCATTATGTCTTTGTTTTTCCCCAACCCTTTCCAGTGTCACTATGTCTCTTTTCCCTCATTTCTTTCTCTTATGTCACTATACATTTGCTCCTCTATTGTGTGTCGCTGTGTTCATCTTCCTCATTGCCCTACCCTATGTCACTATGGGGTCTATTCACGAAGCTGCCGAAGGATCTGGCCGTAGCTTCGGCCGATCCTTCGGCTAGCTTCGGCCCCAGGACCCACCAGGGCGCCTGGGAGAGTTTTTTTTTTCGTTTTTTTTTTACAGCAGCAGAGCCGCCGGACAATAGGAAACTATTGGGCGGAGCTAGCTGTCACTGCTAGCTCCGCGCAATCGTTTGCTATTTCCTTTTTTTACTTTTTTCACTGTTCTTCTGTTCTGCTTGGTACCTCTGAGGGACCGAGCAGAACAGCCGAGCCGAATGCCGATTCAATCACTGCTGTTCGGGATCTTTAAGAATAGACCGAACAGCAGTATGTGGGGGTGGGGGCTTGGGGTTTGATGAATCCTGCTTGAAATCCATGAAACCTGAACTTAGCTGCAAACCCAAATAAAGTCTGCAAGGGCAAATCTTGTTTGGTCATTTGTATGGCTAATAGGCAAGCTATGGCCACAAAAGGGCATGAGGAGCTGGGCACTGCAATGGGGGATATTTAATAAAGCAAAATCATGTTTTAAAAAGTTACTGTGCAGCAGGGACAGGGTTCCATTAGTGTGACTTCCAGGGTGACATGGAGAAAACGCTAAGCCTTTTAAATTACATATTTGGGACATGTCTTGTATGTGGTGTTACTGAAAAGTATGATTTTCACAGACAGCATCAGTGAGTCTGGATTCTGGCATTACATATTTTCCATGTGTAACTTACAGGGTTATTCACAAAAGGCCGAAGAGCTTGGAGAAGGCAGGAGAAGTGAACAATCTAGGACAGCATAGCTGATTTGGAGAAATTCTCCAATTCAGCTCACTTTCCAGTTCAGCTATGTTGTCCTAAATTGTTCACTTCTTCGGCCTTCTCCAAACTCTTCACCCTTTTGTGAATAAACCTTTCAATGTTTAACTATTATGTTTAGATTGGCTTAAATACAGCAGCAGCACCCCCATTTTTTTTTTTAAACATGCTTTTTTAGACCAAGTGGTAATAGGCCTGAATTGACCAGTGAAAGTAGCAGCCACAAAAGATCTGAAAGCTAGGAAAAAATTTACTCCACAAAAAATAAATAAAGCTTTTACTTTTGTAGTGCAGTGTCACACTGCATTGTCTTAGAAGTTTAATAAAATGTCAAAACGGTACACAAAAACACGTATAAACCACAACCCCACATTGCCCGAATCCCCTAGATATTCCCAATTATTCCAAAAAATATTTAGGATATAGACTTCAGTCGAAATAGTCGAACTTCAGGACAGTACACATGCACTTAAATAGGTTGCAAAAGAGATAAATGCATTTCTTAGGGGTGCCAGGATCCCTCTAATGACCAACCTGCCTTTTATCATTTAAGGAGTTTTTTTTAAACTGCAGTGGCCAGGCCTGGCTGCAGACAGCACTCACAGGCAGCTCTTGAACCACATTTAGTATTTGCATTTGCAAATTTTCCATAATTTCGGATGAGTTCAACAAAAATTATGAATGAAAATTTGTTGCAGAAAAGTGACAGTAAAAAAATAGTGGTCCCCTTAAAATCGCTTACCAGACCCTTGATCCGAGCAGCAGCCTGGCAGAGCAGGAAAGGAGGGGGGTAGGAGCGTGCAACCCCCCTCCTGAACCATTCTAGGCCACATGTCCTCAACAAGGGCCTCTTCCCCACAACTTTGGCCCGGTGGTTGTGGGGGTCTGTGGGTAGATGAGCTTATAGGAATCTGGGTGCACCCAGATCCCGCCCCCTCTCGTGAATGAGTAAGGTGTAGCTGTGAACAGTAAAATTGTAAAGATACACACAACACTCTCTTTAAAAGTCCTTTATTTAAAAAAAAAAAAATACAGTTTTTGACAATTCTTTAATTAAAAAAAAGAAAAAGAACACATATTATCTCCTTTTACATGCTGGATTTACTATACTTTGCACCCTTAAGTGATAGGGTTGCTTTAAAAGGTGAACAATCTAATAATATGAAAAACACAATCAGTTGCTTTCCCCAAACAAATTTGCTGTATAAATGTTAGTTAGCATTCATTGCACAAATGTTGTTAGCAGTCATCTGACTAATGTTTTGGGCTTACATACATTGTTTTTGTATGATTTTGCTGTAAACTCAAAATAAATCCTGTAAAATACAGGCATTTTATATTACCAAAATCTGTTTAAACAGTGTATCAAAGAAAAAAGAAGCTGGATGTTTTGACAGCAGGGGATGTGTAATTTCCTTAGTTACTTTCCCTTTGCAGAGTGAGGATGTTCATTATCACTCAAGCACCTACACATATCCTGGTCTACATTCCCATATGCCGTGCCAAATGGATTAGCGGAGCAAACCACGGATTTTGTTTGACCAATTTTTTTTAGGAGATGACTGAATTTCACTGTAAACATTCACAGTTTTTACATCTTGCTATTAGTTCTCATATATTTCAGGCCCAAATACTGTTAAATACATTTGGGCATATTATAATTACTTTAGGATTAAATTATACCAGCAATTTGCCAGATGTTAGTCTCTATTCATGAAGCTTTACACAAGAATAATTTTCAGACATGTGACCGTAATTTTTAAATCTTATTGGACTGTCACTTTTTGAAAATAAGGATCTTTATCCTGGTGTTTTAGCTTTGTGAATTGAGCCTAAGGTATAAAAACACAGGGCAGTGTAAAATTGCTTGCCAATGTGCATGTCCTTATTCGTTTTACTTGTGCTGACATTTGTTACATAATACTGCGTTTAACATCATGCCTACAAATGGTTACAAAGGTACATTACAAAGGTACATGAGTTTCAAAATGTGGTTATAAGCGTATTATGACAATGAGCAAAATTATTATATTGACTTAATCGATTTGTTGATTTGACTGTAAAAGAACACGTGAAATTTCAATAGGACACTCTAGGTATGTAAACTACAAAAGAGAGATATTTGCCTAATTAAATGTATCATTAATTATTATGCTCGTGTTATTGTCTCAATTTTTCCTCCAGGATTATTGGATGCTTTCTAACAATATGTTATCAAAAGGTTTAAAACTGAAGATAAACAATAATGTCTCTTCTTTCTTTCAGCCTCAAGGGAGCAGATGCTGGCAATGGAATACGAGTGTTTGTACCAGATATTGGAATGTTTATTGCCAGTTTTGCCACCTGGCTCTTTTGCAAAAAACTTGCCCAGAAAACAGTGACTGAAGAGGATGCACAATACAACACTCAGTTTGTAAATGAAGAATTGGTATGTATTTATTTACAGACAGTCATCTCTTTTTAATGTTTACTAATTGCCTAATTTAATCAAGTGTAGGGTAAAGAGTAGGGTCAGCACAGGTTTGTAAATCAAGCTCTATAAAGCTGGCCATACACTAGTAGATTTCCGAACGAACGTTCATATGAAAGACAAGCAAAACAAGATTTTTCTTTACCACCTGATATTGCCATCAGACACTTGACGAATGTCGATCGAAATTTCGTTTGATGCCAAACTTTGATTTTGGAATGAGTGGTGTTTCCCAAACGAAAACCAAATTCACTGTTGGAATTTCGTTCTTTCAAGAAAACATTTCCATCCTGCTCTTTGGAGTTTTTGTCACTACAGTCAAAATCGATTGTTGATTTGACCCCATTAACTAATAGAAAGCCGAAAGAAAGTTCTTTCATGCAAAAGTTCTTTTGAAAATCGAAGTCGTATATGGCCAGCTTAAGTAAAGTTTTCAAAACCGTCACAGCAGTTTTTTTTTATTTGTGTATGTAAAATAATGAAGAAAAGTATATGGCTGATCTCCACACTTTGGGGTCTATTCACGAAGCTGCCGAAGGATCTGGCCGAAAATCTTTCAATGGGGACACCTGTGGCAAGTGTTTAAGAGGAGAATTCCCCTAACTTTGGGAGATTTCTTCTAACTTCCTGTTATGTGTCTTGAACGGGAATTGAACGCACTCCAAAAATAAAAAAGGTTTTGGCTATACGTACATTTTAACATTGTTCGAGACCAGTGGCAGTGATTGGCTAGTCCTTTTGGGCATGGATAAATTAGGGGCAAGAGGCTGTTTTGTGAAGCAAACTTGTATGCTGAAGGTTTGAACATTGCCATTTTAAAATTTAATTTAGACATAAATTGGTTAAAAACTATTTTCTTAATGTTTTAAACAAATGATTGACAGCCTGCTGGAGAGCAGAATACAGCAATCTGGCAAATATCACCTGCAACTGTACCTGTAAATGTTATAATCTGTAGCCCATGTGTTACGTTTAATCCATCACACAGTCTAGTTCATTCATTCCGATAATTGGGGAGGAAGAGGAAGCCATGAAACATAAAGCGCACGTTTTGAACATCTGTACCCTCTTGATGTACTAAAGCCTGTGCGGGTTTATGAACCAATATTTGAGATGAGGAAAAAGTAACCATACATTTCCAAATAAATTTGAATCTTCATATCTTACATGGATTTTTGATTTTATAGAGTTCAGTTAAATGTTTCAGCTGCAGTGCCTTTTTTTATTTTCTATAGCTATATTAGCATGCAAAAGATTCAGTGAGAAGCCTCAAGAAGGCTATTTATTAAAAAATGAGAAAAAAAAAATTGTTACTCTATGTGAGATCAGCCATAACATTATGACCACTGAGAGGTGAAGTGAATTAAATTGATTATCTGGCACCTGAAAGTGGGTGGGGTAAGGATTTGAGAGACTTCGACAAGGACCACATTGTGATGGCTAGACGACTGGGTCAGAGCAACTTCAAAACTGCAGCTCTTTTGGGATGATCCCAGTTTGTAGTGGTCAGGACCCACCAAAAGTGGTCAAAGGACCACTGATGCACAGGGCGAGCGAAGGCTGGCCTGTGTAGTCCGGTCCAAAAGGAGAGCTACTGTAGCTTAAATTGCTAGAAAAGTTAATGATGGTACCAATAGAAAGTTGTCTGAACACACAGGGCATCACAGTTTGTTGCATATTGGGCTGCGTAGGTGCAGACTCGTGAGGGCACCCATGCTGACCTTTGTCCACTGACAAAAGTGCCTACAATGGGCATGTGAGCATCAGAACTGGACCACGGAGCTATGCAAGAAGTAGGTCTGATCATTTACATTTCCTTTTACATCATGTGGATGGGCGGGTGCGTGTGTGTTGCTTACCTGGGGAAGAGATGGTACCAGGATGCACTATGGGAAGGAGGCAAGCTGGCGGAGGCAGTTTGATGCCATGAGCAATGTTTTCCTGGGAAACCTTGGGTCCTGCCATTCATGTGGATGCTACTTTGACGTGCACCACCTACCTAGACATTGTTACTGACCAAGTACACCCTTTCATGGAAATTGTATTGCCTGATGGCATGGCCTCTTATAGCAGGACAATATGCCATGCCACACTGCAAAAATGTTTAAAAAATGGTTTGATTAACACAACAACGAGATTGTTGTGTTGACTTGGCCCTAAAATTCTCTGGATTCCAATCTAATTCCATTCATCTGTGGGATGTGCTAGAAAAACAAGTCCGATCCTTGGAAACCCCACCTCGCAACTTACAGAACTTAAAGAATCTGCTAATGATGGCTTGGTGCCTGATACCACAGCATACCTTCAGAGGTCTAGTGGAGTCCGTACGGTCAGGGTTGTTTTGGTGACAAAAGGGGGACCTACTCAATATTAGTTGGGTAGTCATAATGTTATAAAGGATCATTGTATTTTGTTCATGTTTGTATGTTGAGGTAAATAAATATTTTGCAGTTTAATTTATACCACCATTATTTATAGTTTCAATAAGGGAATTTTCAGCTAAACACCAAATAGGTACCCACTGCAAGGCTTAAGATTTATTTGCCTGGAGTTCTTCTTTAAATGTAGCTAGTGTCAACATCTTGATTTGATTTATTATTTTCTTCCAGTACAGAAACACTCAGACTGGGATAGGGAGTGTAGTAATAGCAGCCGATCAAGTGCATTGTATGTACTGGCAAGGAACATGCAGACAGAGGAGTGCAAAGAGAGTAGAAGAATAAGCTCATTAGTCTGCCTCTGCTCCTTTATGGCCCAATGACATGCTGTTGGCAAATTAGCTGTATTTGCAATAGAGAAAAGTTAGGTCACCAATCTAGCCAGACAGAGTTTTTATGAATCTTACAGAGTTATTCACTAATGGGTGAAGAGTTTGGAGAAGTGAACAATCTAGGACAACATAGCTGAACTGGAAAGTGAGCTGAATTGGAGAATTTTTCCAAATCAACTTTTTTGGCCTAGAGTGTTCATTTCTGCCTTCTCCATACTCTACACCCTTTAGTGAATAACCCTGTTAGTGATGGATGGAGAGCAAAAAAGCAATCACTAGCAGATAAAAAAGCTCCTATTTCCACTTTGTACTTTGGCTGATAGAAAGTTTGAACAAGGCAATGTGCAATATTCTCTTACCATGTTTTGCCTGTTCTAAGCTGAGGTAAACTGAAACATGAGAGAGTTTTAATGGGTAAACGTACATCCTGGGTCTTCACATTGTTATATTTTCCTTGTTGTGCTGTGCAAAAAGAGGAGACACTGAGTTTTATTTACCAAAGTGTCTGAAAGTTGAACTGTCTGTGTGGACTGTGTTGCCTAAAGCAACCAAACAGATTCCAACTGCCATTTTCCCATTTTAATGATTTGTTTCTTCAGTTTTCTAATAGTTTTTGGGGTAAAATTTACAAATAATTTCGACTGTAGTGACAAAAAAATGTAAGGAAGCAGGATGGAAATTATTTCTTGAATGAATGAAATTCAAAACAGTGATTGTGGTTTGTGGTTTTCATTTGGGAAACTCCATTAATTCTAAAATCAAATATTAAAAACAAAGGCAGTTTCGAAGTCTCTGATGGCATTATCAGATGTTCCAACTGGATTTTTTTTATGAACATTCGTACAAAAATCTACTGGTGTATGGTCAGCTTTACTCAGTAAGTCAGCACAAGCAGCAGTGATTATGAACAAAGCGCAGTAACCTTAACACATTTGAGATTCATGAGGTCAGGTCAGTAAAAGATTGGTTGCTGTGGTTTAATTTACTTTGCACATTTTTCTTTGTCTTACTAAAGAAGTCTCTTTGGCTATAAGCGTACATGCTGGATGTAGTGCAGGTTCCAGATAGCAGATGATATGTTGATTTACCAATTCAGATTCCTGTTTATCACAGAGTCAAACACCATATGTTTAACAGCACATTTAATTTTTTATAACAAGAACCTTTCTTTCCTTATTACATGCATTTATCCATTTTTCTATGAAGTATTGTTTTCAGAGCATGGAATGTATGTAGTGGATAATTTATTTCTAGCCAGAGATGCCAGGCTGTGCTAGGAACTAGAGAGCTTATCTTCCCCTAACATCACCATTGAGGCTTTGTGTTGGGGGTGTGCCGAGGATTATTCCTGCTGAGAAGAGTCTTCATGCAGAAATGATGGCATTTCCTTGCTTTGGTGTTTATACTGTATCTGATGAGACAGTTAAAAGCTGAATGTTAACAAAATAATCCAGTGATGACTAATAGCATTTCTGGCCCCACTCTGATAGTAGCAGTAACAGCTGCTGTGCAGGCACTGCTCTTTTCCTGTCTTAGATTTATTGTTGCTTTGACATTTACATGTAATATGCAATGAAGCTTCTTAGGTTTTTCATAGATAAATGTAACCACTTTGTGCAAGCAGATGTGAGATCATCTCATCATTCTACTATTAGGTGTAGGACTACACGATAGAAATATGGAGCAGTGTATTTAAGGCTCATACTTAAACAAAAGAATATCAAATCACTTGGAATGCAATTATTTAGAATGTAAGTAAATATAGCAATATAGTTCTATAGCATTTTCGCCAAATTGGTCAGGGTATATATATATATATGTGTGTGTGTGTGTGTAATTATATATGTACACAGAGAGCTATATATGCAAATTTAACAGTGCTACACAATAATTCTAGACTTGCTACTTTTCACAATTCAAGTTAATCAGATGATTTCACATTTCCCTTATCAGTGGTAATCATGAAATGAATATTAAAGGAGAACTATGAGGTGAGTGCTTTTCACTCACCTCATAGTTCTAGCCGACCTGTGACAATGAGACTGTCACAGGTCGGCTCAGTAGATCGGGAGGTGAGCGAACACATACCAGCGTTCGTTCACCTCTCGATCCTGTCACGGCTATCTGCTGTGACAGGGGAGGGGCTGGATTCCCCCCTCCCTGCTCCGATCCGCCAGCGCTGACTGGCGGAACGGACGGGGGAAGGGGCGGGTACAGCTGGCTCTGCCTCTAGATAGGCAGGGGCAGCTGTCAGTCACGCAGCTGGGCGGATCCCGGCACAATTGTCGGGATCCGCTTCAGCTGCGGCGTCTCAGTATACCGCCAGCAGCAGCTTGCGGTATACTGCGGCGTCTCAGTATACCGCGAGCTACAGCTCGCGGTATACTGAGCCTAGGGTGACGGGAGGAGGCTAGTTTGTGTCCTCCCATTACCCTAAGGAGAACTATGGGGAAAAGCCTTAACCCCATAGTTCTCCTTTAATTATGAACAGAAAAGAAGTACTGAAAAAGCAGGGGTCAGGAGTATGTAATGTACTGAGTGCAGTGGTCAGAAATATGCTCTGTACAGACTAGTCAGTGTAGCAACCCCATACAGTACCAGTTAGTACAGAAGTGGCCCTTTACATTGGTGGTCAGCAGTGAAGTGCCACCTTACATCAGTGCTAGGTAGAGAAGTGCCCTTACATTGACAGTCAATAGTGAAGTGCCCCTTTATATTGGAGGTCTGTGGTAAAGTGCTCCCTTACACTGGCAGCCAGTGTAGAAGTGCTTCCTAAGATTGGTGGTCAGTATAAGAGTGCCCCCTAACATTGGTTGTTAGTATAGAAGTGTCCCCCTGCATTGGTCAGTGGTTATGCACACCCTTTCACTGATAGGCAGTGTAGTGCCACTTACATGAATGCTCAGTTGATGGTCAGTGGTCAAGTACCTCCTTACATTGGTGATCAATAGTGAAGTGCTTCTTACATTGGTGGTCAGTGGTAAAGAGCCCCTTTACATTGGTGGTCAGTGGTGAAGGGCTTCTTACATTGGTGGCCAGTGTTAAAGTGCCCCTTTACATTGATGGTAAGTGGTGAAATGTCCCTTTGCATCAGTGGTCAGTGGTTACCTGAGAGAGTGCAGCAACTGTTGGGTGGGAGATCAGTGCATTTACGAATAATAGCACTGGCTAGTGCCACTAGAGCCCAAATCTTTATACCTCCTTAATGCCTGCACCAGAGGTGGACCATTTGCAGCACTCTGCCTTTGGTATGCCACTGCCTGTCATTAGAGAAATATGGAGCTGACAGTGTTGAACTACCTTCTGAAAATGCTCCTTGCCTGACTATTATAATATCTTTCTCGCTTTAGTACCTTCTGAGTCACTGATCGAAATAAAGTTTGCAGATCAAGTTGGAGAAAAGTCAAAACTCCTGATCTGAACATCTGCTCAATCTGTCAATAACTCTTTAATAATATTAAAAAAAAGTATAAGTGTGTAAAAATGTGAAGATCATATAAATAATAACTTCATGGTAAGCACTAAAATATATGAAACATACATACTCACTGAAACTGTGTAATAATATGATATTTTGTTTCATGTTTAGACAGAAGCAGGGAAAATGGACATGGATGATGCATTAATGTGTGAAGATTTTGATGGAGAAGATGATGTTAATGAAGGGGCAGAAGAAAGCACAAGGTTAAAAATTCTTCGCAAAGTTGCCTCATTTGCCTCAAAGCTTAAAGAATTTATTGGCAACATTATAGCCACCGCTGGAAAAGTAGTTGTTATAATTTTACTTGGTATAACAGGTTGGTGCTACACAGTAGACTTATTTACCTTTTAAGCATGTACAATGTAGTAATTGTTTAGAAAAGCGCCTTCAGTGTGCACAGTCTCTTATCATTGTCTTAGCAGCGCTATTGTGGAAGCATTATATTTGTTAATTTGTTATACTGAAATTTTGGACTTCATTGAAAAGCAATTCCAGGCAACAAGTGATAGGAATCAGTGGGTTTCTGATGACAGAAGGCACTGGGGTGGACAAGAGCTCTACAGCTTTGTCTGGTCAGGCAGACTCTTCTCAATGTATGGATTTCAAGGCACTTACTCTTAATGGGCACCACCAATATCTTTGTCTGGTCTTGTCTGGGCATGGACATTTCCTTACACTGAAATTAGGTCACAATATGTAAATGTGGGAGGAGCAGGACTTGACAATGAAGATTTTTTAAGGAAGAGTCAATGGGGCATTGAACAGGCCACACAGCAAAGATCTCTGTGTAGTGGTGATAGATTTATATGTGGCTTGTCAGGGATGCTGGAGGAAGGCATCGCGCCCCATTAATGATAAATGCACTTACTGGCGCCTTCTAAGGATAAGTTTAAGAGTGAGTTACAGGACTGTTCCTATGAGGCGACATCTCATTGGAGGGCAGCAGGTGTGGGGGGAAGGCAGCAGGGGGGAAGCCACATAATTCCAGGATGCTAAGAGCTCTTAACAGGATGCCTGACAGAGCCAAGGGAGAGGAGGTAATGGTTAGGGGTTAAACTTACTTTTACTAATACATTTAGTAATGCTTAAGCAGCCAAGAAATAAGGGCATGCTGATAAGTCTGTTTTAAACTGTCAAGATTGAACAATGTCTTTTTTAGGTGTGAAAGAAGACATTTTTTTTAATGTTCTGGTGTCCACATATCCCATACCTCATTAATTTTGCGTAAAAAAGCATACTGCTGATCTGTGCCTCATAGGTCACATGGTCTGCTTTCAGCTAGTTACATTTTTGCTGCAGGGACATCTCACCATTAAAGATCTTGAGATCTATAAGAAACCAGGAGGTGAATCAACTCACTAATGCCCGACTTAAAGGAGAACTATGAGGTGAGTGCTTTTCACTCACCTCATAGTTCTAGCCGACCTGTGACAATGAGACTGTCACAGGTCGGCTCAGTAGATCGGGAGGTGAGCGGACACATACCGGCGTTCGCTCACCTCTCGATCCTGTCACAGCCCTCTACCGTGAAAGGGGAGGGGCTGGATACCCCTCTCTCCGCGCCGATCCACCAGCGCTGACTGGCGGAATGGACGGGGGAGGGTACAGCTGGCTCTGCCTCTAGATAGGAGCTGCAGCTGAGCGGATCCAGACATAATTGTCGGGATCCGCTTCAGCTGCGGCGTCTCAGTATACCGCGAGCAGCAGCTAACTGAGCCTAGTACTGAGCCTAGGGTGACGGGAGGACGCTAGTTTGTGTCCTCCCGTTACCCTAAGGAGAACTATGGGGAAAAGCCTTAACCCCATAGTTCTCCTTTAAACAAAAACTTCAACTTGGGTGGTGTTGACTGTTATGTAACGGCTCTAGATATTGATGCAGTCTGAAAATGTTCTCTGTTTTCTTTCACAGGCATGATGTTGCCTTCTTTGACCTCAGCTGTGTATTTCTTTGTATTTTTGGGGTTATGCACATGGTGGTCCTGTTGCCGAGTATTTGATCCGCTGATATTCAGCTGTCTATGTGTATTAATGGCCATATTCAGTGCAGGGCACTTGATTGGACTTTATCTTTACCAGTTGCAGTTTTTTCAGGAGATTATTCCACCTAATGATTTTTATGCCAGGTAAGTTAAACACATGATCAAGAATTGTGGTTTTCTTTTCTCTTGATGTTGCACTTTATAGACTCCATTCTGGTATTAATTACCAAACAGACCATGAATCCAAAACACTTGTAAAACATGTGATTGAGTTTAACTGCATATTTTACTCCACTGCTAATTTTACTAGCTGAATAAAGATAGCTGCTGTGAAACCCAATTAGAAAATGGTGAAATAAATAGCATCTCAGGCAAATGGGCAGAAGAGAAAACATTTTTATTTATTTATTAGTTTTAGTTATTAATATTGTAATATTGTAGTCAAAAGGTTTTTAAGCTATTTCAGATGCTGATGAAATCACTTACAATGAATGCTGCTCCTTGATTTTTACAAGTTTAACAGGGTTATTCACAAAAGGGTGAAGAGTTTGGAGAAGGCAGGAGAAGTGAACAATCTAGGACAACATAGCTGATTTGGAAAAATTCTCTAATTCAGTTCCCTTTTCAAATCAGCTATTTTGGCCCAGATTGTTCACTTCTCCTGCCATCTCCAAACTCTTCACCCTTTTGTGAATAACCCTGTTAGTTTCCTGCAGAATCAGCTGGTTCCTTGAGCACTGGTCCTGATATTCTGTTTTAGGGTGGCTACTTTCACTTGCAGGGTCCTATGCAGCCACCCTTGTATATGCCAGTAAGCTGACCGATGAAAGAACCCTGCGTGGTTCTGAAACATTGCATTATTTACATTATGCTGCCAGAATGTCTGTAAAGATGTAATTCTTAAGCTGAATGATGTGCGGGTAACATATTTCACAGTGTATGTGGTGGTGCCATCCACCGGCTGTTCCAGTGCCCAAGTAATCTACAAGAAGAGATCTATCGCTCTGGGGTGCGGTTGGAGATATTACTAATATTAGTAAGCTGCGTGTGTATCCACAAACACACAGACACAGCACGGCAAGCCACTCCCTTGCTCCCTGCTCCTCCAGTAGATAGCCTAATGTAGAAAAATATCTTTTTTTAAGTAAACCTGGCACAAATCTTCACTGAGCATGTGATGAAAATATATATAAGAAGCTGTTCCCTCCTGTAAAAACCACTTGAAGGTAAACAGTAGATCCAGAGATGCAAGCAAATAAAACCATTGACTCTTCCTGCAAACGTCACGTTTAATCTTACCCTTCTCACCTCTTCCTATTAGTCCTTCAATAAAATAGATGTCTTCACTGACCAAAAAGGAGTTGTAGGAGACAAGAGAAAGCCACGACTTCCATTCTATCTGTTCACTCTGGATATCTCTCTTTTCCCAGTTGGCTAGAATTATCTTTTTTTTTCTATTGGCTGACCTGAATTGGCAAGACTAGTGAATGCTAGAGAGCAAAAAAAGGGTTACAACAGTGTTCCTGCACACAGGACTGGCCTTAGGCCTTTAGGCACCCTGTGCGAGAAAGCTGGGACACAGAGCAGCACCCAGCGGGGGAGGAGAGAAAGAACGGATGCAACGCTTTCGGCATTATGCATCCCTAGTTGGGACAATATGAGATTGCCAATCTTTATGCTTATGCAATGTTAATATGTGTACAATACAATTGTGATCATTTGTATCCTAAATGTATGTGCTATTCATTCTTGTACCTTAAAAGCCGTACTATATCTTCCTACAAATTGTTTCCTATACGAGGGTGTGGTGCAACATCATTGGGTGCCGTCCTTTTATTAAACAGTAGGCAAAAAATAAATAAAGTGTCAGGATGTCATGCAGACCCTCATTTCAAGCAAGTGCATCTAGAAAAGTACAAACACAGAACCCAGACAACATGTTAAATAGTGCACACTGTTTACTGACACAAAGTACATGCTGCACACTGTTGCATATGTATAAATAGAAAAAGGAATTGGGGACACAGAGTCCTCAATCTCTGCTTCTGTAGCCCCAGCACTACACCATGATGTAAAGCAATCTGATTGTCTAATCTTCCAATCTGATTGTCCTATCTGATTGGACAATCAAGTTGGACAATCTCTCATTTAAAATCTGATTGCTCAATCTATACCTTGCAATCTATAGATTGGATAATCAGATTGAATTATCTAATAGGGCCAATCTGATTGGATGAGCTAATTGGACCAATCTTGTTGGACGATCTGATTGGACCAGTTTGATTGGTCCAATTGGATGATCAGATTGGACAAATCTGATAGGCCCAATCCGATTGGACAATCAGATTGGATCAATATAGTTGGACCATTCTGATGGGAAGATCTGATTGGACCAATCTGAAATGACGACCTGATTGGAGCAATTTGTTTGGACCAATCTGATTGGATGATAAGATTGCAATCTATAGATTGGATGATCAGATTTAATTATCTAATTAGGCCAATCTGATTGGATGAGCTAATTTGACCAATCTGGTTGGAAGATCTGATTGGACCAGTTTGATTGGTCCAATCAGATTGGTCCAATGGTCTAATTAGACGATCTGATTGGAGCAATTTGGTTGGACCAATCTGATTGGAAGATCTGATTGAACTGATCTGATTTGACGATCAGATTGGATCAATCTGGTTGGACGATCTGGTTTTATCAATCTGATTGGAGCAATTTGATTGAACCAACTTGATTGGACCAATTTGATTTGACAATCTGTTTGGACCAATCTGATTGGAGCAATTTGATTGGATCAATCTAAATGGAAGATCTGATTGAACTGATATGATTGGACTAATCAGATTGTACAATATGATTGGACGATCAGATTGGACCAATCTGGTTTGACGATCTGATTGAACCAACTTGATTGGATCGATCTGGTTGGGCGATCTGGTTTTACCAATTTGATTGGACCAATGTGATTGGACTAATCTGATTGGAGCAATTTGATTGGATCAATCTGATTGGAAGATCTGATTGAACTGATCTGATTGGACTAATCAGATTGTACAATCTGATTGGACGATCAGATTGGACCAATCTGGTTTGACGATCTGGTTTTACCAATCTGATCTTCCAATCTTCCAATCTGATCTTCCAATCTGATCATCCAATCAGATTGACCAATCAGATTGTCAGACTTTGTCCCTAGTTATGAATCACTTCCTGTTTATTCATGAGTTTCTGAATGAATAGAAGCAGCTCAGTACCCATTCATAACTGGATGATATTATAAATATTTACTATCTCTGGTTTGTGAATGAATGGCAAGCCTCTGTACGGAGTGTTTTCCATTCATTCAGTGCTGAGGCTACAGAAGCAGAGATCGAGGACTGCGTCCTCAATTTATTTTTCTATTTCAAAAGGGAAATGTCAGGGGTCTGTTGACACCAGATATTTCACTGTAGCCCCCCCCCCCAACCGGCAAAAAAACCA